TCTGAGAAGAGAGGCCTGGGTAGGATTTGCCCTGGAGCATGGCAAATTCCAGGAGGCAGTTCCAGGCCCTAGAGAACACGATCTGCTGAGGCCTGAAGAAACACTGGCCTTCTAGAGAGCCCAGTTCCAGCCCTGGATCTGCCAGCACAGCTCGGTGACCTTAGGCAAGTGACCCCCTCTCTCTGAGCTTCTTTGCATGTAAAATGGCAGCAGAGGTAGGCAAGCTGGCACCACAGTGACACGCAGTGAAGCCTTTCCTATCCCCTCTGGGTTGGCCCGGGACACTCCCCCAAGTGTGTGCCAGCTGGCTGGAACTGACACCAGGAAGAAGTGCCCCTGGGAGCCCCATGGGCACAGCAAGGAGCTGGCAGGCCTGCTCAAGGTGCCTGCCCAGAGCCTGGGGAACAGTGACAAACCGTGAGGGGCAAGCACCAGGGCAGAACTGGGGCAAGAGCCATTTCCCTTCTGAGAAGGGTTCCTTCCACTCCAGCCCTCCCCGGAAGTCCAGGCCCCTCCCTGCCTAGCCCCCTGCCCAGGCCCACTCCCTGGGAGAAGAAGGCTGGGGGGTGACAGTCCCTTGACAGGCCTCAGTATTCTCACTTGAAAAATGGGTAAAAACAGTAGGATAGTAATCTCACTTGGAAAACTGATAGTATGGGTACTTCCGATGATTCATGAGATAATGGGTGTCAGGTGCTTAGCAGGGTGCTTGGGGTTGCTCAGTAAATCTTAGGTCCTACACACCCAGAGGGCCGCCTGCCGGGGAAGGCTGCACAATTTGAAGCTTCCTGACATTAAACAGGCTGGTTCAAGTGGGACCCTTTCTGTCTCACATGCCACTCCATCAGGAGGGGAGGGCTGTGGAGGGGGCGGGGGAGGTTGGTGAAGAGCCCGCTAGAAAACAATGTGTGTGCGCCCCCTGCTGGCCGGGAGCAAAGGTCCCGCACGTCGACTCAGGAGGCTGGGTTGATATCCACAGAGCACCCATTAGGTTTTGGGCGGGATGCAACATGAATGGCAGGTACACTTAGTTTGTGGGGTCAGCTAGTTTAGGAGTCAGTCAGGCTTGGTTTAATCCAAGAGTCCACCACTGTCCTTTGAACGTGGATTTATTTATTCAACGGGTATGATTCTGGGTAGGGATATAGCAGGGAACACAGGTGGCATCTTGGATTTGTAGTGACCTTGAACAGGGTACATAATCCCTTTGAGATTCAGGTTTCTCATTCTGTAACATGGAAATCTTCTCCACCCCTCCCTGAAAAACCAGGCTGTGGAGACCCTGGAAATAGATCTTAAGATCACTTAGAGTTGAAAGTCACTATCAATAATTATGGCTTCTCAAGGAGGACCTCTCTCTTGTGCCTCTGGATGTCATCATTTGGCCACGTCATGCCAGTCTTCTCCAGTCCTCCCGTCTCCCAGGTACTCGGCAGATGACAGGCCCATGCCTTTCTGCTCCAGGGCAGTGACAGAGGCCTAACCTCATGACTGGCCACGGGAGTAGACATGAGAAGATCACGCAGACAAGAGCTCCTCAGGTGGTCCCAGGTGGCCCTCTGCAAGGGTGCTCACTGCACACTCCAGTGGACCTGTGCACATTGCTCCTCCACTTGAGACCTGGGAAGTCTCGCGGTGTCAGCCTCGTGGGAACCACTTGTCTTCCTGGATCTCTGGATCCTCCTCACTGCACAGAGCTCTGGGGGCTTGCAGAGGAGAGGGAATGTGCTCTCTTTCTTTTTCTGGGGATTGAACCCGGGGCACTTTACCACTAAGCTACATCCCTAGCCCTTCTTTTATTTTTTTATTTTGGGACAGGGCGTTGCTAAGTTGCCCAAGCTGGCCTCAAGCTTGGGATCCTCCTGCCCCCATCTCCCGAGTCTCTGGGGATGACATGTGTGTGCCCGGCTCCAGTTTTATTTTTTGCAGATGTCGGTAGTGTCATCTCACTCCCTGTGTGTATGGATTTTTGTATTCATTCATGCAACAAAGCTTTGTTGAGCTATTGCCAGATACCAGGGCCACAGACACAAATTTCTGCCCCACTGGAGCGTATGTTCTAGTGTGTGTTCCAGGGAAAGTGCAGGAAAGAAAAATAACCAAGCAAGTAACAAAATCATGATGTTTGATTGTAATCTAGGCTATGGATAAAGCAAAGCAGAAAGGGAGGTCTAGGTGCCCCATGACAAAGAGTATAGGTTTTAAATGGACTGTCACGTAAGGTCTCACTAAGAAGGTGGCATATAAATAAAGATGGAAGGAGGTAAGAGAGGGAGCCATGTAGCCATTTCTAGAGGAGCGTTCTAGTACAAAGACCCTGGTGGTCAGAGACGCTGTCCAGGCGAGAATGCCAGAGAGGGATGGGGATTGTGGTGGGAGAGGGGAAGGGCCTGTGTGCATGGGGAACATGGGTGTCCACAGAGTGGGTGGGAGCCCTGCAGGTTTTGAGCAGATGGTGGCATTGCCCATCTAGCATTTGAGCATGTGCACTCCACATCTGGCAAGAAAAGGGTCTCAGGATATGATAGGGGTTCATGCAAGGGGATGGTGGCTGGGACCTAAGCGATGGTGGAACAGTTGTGCCAATCATAGTACTCTCCTCAAATGCACGGTGTGGGGGTAGGCTATGGGAAGCACTTAGCACACTGCTTGGACTTGATCAAGAGGAGCTAATACAGTGTGACCAAGTGTCTCTCAAAGCTCTACCACTGAGCTACATCTCCAGCCCTTTTATTTTATTTATTTATTTATTTAATTTGTTCCACTTAGTTATACATAGCAGCAGAATGCATCAACTCATTGTACACAAATGGAGCACAACATTTCAATTCTCTGGTTGTACACGGTGTCTTTTTTTTTTTTCAGACAGTCTCATTAAATTTTCCCAGGTTGGCCCCAAACTTGCAATCCTCTCACCTCAGCTTCCCCAGTAGCTGGGATTACAGATGCGCACCATCACGCTCAGCTCCAGCCCTTTTCTGGATGATACAACACTATAGAGTGAAAGCTGATGGGAGAGACCTATCCAGGAGACCACAGAACTAGAAACCACAGACAAGGGCTCACATTCATGTTCATCTGCCTCAGAAGCCACTGTCCTTAACCAGAGTATTTCCATGGTGTCTAGCCAATTACCCAAGAATCTGGGACAATGTGATCTGAATGGCCATCCCGGAGGCAGGGCAGAGCACAGGTGTGAGAATCTTAGCCACCCTGGCTGATCATCACGAGTCCTCGGCATGAGCACAAGCAGGGTGCCAGGCTATCGCACAGGGTCATTGGGTGTTTGATCTTATTTAACCCCCAATCTGCAGGTCAGAAACCCAAGGCTTGACAAGATTTTCGAACTCACCTGTGACAATCAAATCTGAGATGAGAATCCAAGTGTTTCAGTTTTCTCTTACCGCATAATAGTTGACTTCAAACAGCCACTTATTATGTCTCGTGATTTTGAGTTAGGAGTCTGGGCAGGGCTCAGCTGGGGGACTCTTCTGCTCCACGTGGCATTAGCTAGGGTTACTCGCTCGGCTGCGTTCAGCTGGCAGTTGGACTGGGGGAAATGCCTAGAAGGCTTCACTTAACAGGACTAGCACTCCAGTGTCCCTCTGCATGGCCGCTCCAGGGTGACAGCATGGTGTCTGCAGGGTAGACAGTGTTCTAACATGGCAGCTGGCTTCCAAGGGAATAAAAGCAGAAGCTGCCAGGCTTGGGGCTAGCCCTGGGTTCTGACACAGTGTCACCTGCACCAATTCTACGAGCCAAAGCAAGTCAGGGGTTCAGTCCAGATTTAGCTGGAGGGGAAATGGGTTTTGCCTCTTGAAGGGTGGAACCTCACATGCATACCTGAATGGAAGGAGATGCTTATTGCCCACGTGGGGACAAACTAACTATCCAAGCCCCCTCACTGCCAGCCTTTTTCACATGCCCTTGAACTAATTCCAGGAAGTTCTTATTTCTGAGACTTGTTGATGGCTGCTAGGTCCCTGCCACAAAGCACATGTCCGTGTTTTGTCTTGACTGGTTCTCCCTCCCTGCCCCCCACCCAGTGACTCCCAATGCTCTGGATCTGACTTCACGGTGGCTTCATAAATACTTTTCTTGTCCCCTTGAGGGCAAACACTGCTTTTTTTCTACTTCCTAAGGCCTACCACTTGAGTGAACCTAAGCAGATCTTAGTCTCAGGAAATCTATGGGAACGTAACATAGAACGTGAACTTGCAGGCACTCAAGCCTGGGGGTCTCGTCCACATCGTCAGCTCCTCAAGACTCAGTCTGTGTCCACTTCCTTCCGTCTGCTTTGCAGACTCAGCACCTGTGTGGGTCTGTCCTGGAAGAGGAGCTGTGGAAACATGATTTTCTGGCAACACAGTCTATAAGCACAGGGGCCTTGGACAAGGGAAGAGTGTTACTTCTGTAGGACCAGGGGCAGCGGCAGCAGCTAAGAGGTGATTTAGGAATGCAGACTTCCATCCCACCTCCCGAACCAGAACTTATATTTTAACAAATGCCCAAGTGATTTATATGCATGTCAAAAGTATGAGACAACTAAAGTTAGGGGCTCCTGAAATAAAGAGAACAGGAACAAGTTGGAAGGACAGATGCCAGTTGATCCCACCTGATATGTGTGCTTGGAAAAAAAAAATCCTGATGCTCAGCATGTAGCCCAGATCAATCAAGCCCAAATCTCTAGGGGCCTCACCCAGGCATTATAATTTTCTAAAAGATCCTAGGTGATTTCATTGTGTGGCCAGGGTTGAGAACCACTGGATGAAGGTAGTTATTACTTTATTTATTTATTTATTTACTTTTGGCACTGGGAATCAAACCCAGGGGCGCTTTGCCACTGAGCTACATCCCCAGTCAGTTTTATTTATTTATTTATTTATTTATTTTAGTTCTCGGCGGACACAACATCTTTGTTGGTATGTGGTGCTTAGGATCGAACCCGGGCCACACGCATGCCAGGCGAGCGCGCTACCGCTTGAGCCACATCCCCAGCCCCTATTTTTCATTTTGAGACAAGAGTCTCACTTAAGTTGTTGAGGGTCTTAGGTAAGGTTGCTGAGGCTGGCCTTGAACTTGGGATCTTTCTGCTTCATATCCCCCCAAGTAGCTAAGGTTACAGAACTACACCACCATGCTGGGTGAAGATATTAGTTCTTTTTTTTTTTTTTTTTTGGTAATGGAGATTGAACTCAGAGGCAGTTGACCACTGAGCCACATTCCCAGCCTAATTTTTTTGTATTTTATTTAGAGACAGGGTCACATTGAGTTGCTTAGCGCCTTATTTTTGCTGAGGCTGGCTTTGAACTCGTGATCCTCCTACCTCTCCCTCCCAAAAGATATTAGTCCTAAAAGGGTGGTTTCTGAACCCTCTACATCCACATTACTTGGAGTGCTCATTAAAAATGCAGATTCTTGAGCCCCCTACCAGGTTTCTTAAGTCTAAATCTTAGGTGGGGCCCAGGAATCCACATTTTAAAACATCCTCCTAGTTGGTTTGCATGTGGAGGGGCTGGAGGCAGTTGGTTTAACATCATGAATCAGCAGTGACAACAACAAGGTTGCTTTTAAATGCTACAAATAATGATGTGCAAAAATTAGAAAATATAGATAAGTAATAACAGGAAACCAAAAAAACAATCACCACACTCCTACTGCCTCGAGACAACTGGAGGTACCCACTCAAAGAGGGAAGGAGACTTCCTCTCCGACAGAAACTGCTTCTCATTGCAGGGGTCGCCTGTGATTTGGGCTCTGTTCTGCTGGCAGGGTGGAGCCTGTCATTTGGCCTGGACAGAATTATTGCCTCCAATTACATGGTTGATTATCAATTACTTGTGTCCATGGGAGAGCATGTGTGCGTGTGTGCATTAAGTGTCTTTGCAAATCATTAAGGGTCGTAATTCTGGATTATCGTTGATTAACGAGAGGGAGGCCTGGTACCTCCAGCAGCCGGGATGGCAGCCCCGCAATTATGTCCCAGCTGATCAGTAATTGGTGCATCACAAGATGATTTCTCTCTCAGCTGCCTCCTCCCAGCCTCTCCTGCCGGCTCCACAATTAGCACCATTGCTCATTCCTTTCCAGCCCAAGAGGAATTCAGAGAGTGGCTTTCTGGCTGGGAGATGTTGTGGGGTTGGATGAGACCACCACCCAAACGGGGGACTGACGGCCGGCCGTGTGGGCAGCTGGCAGAGGCTTCATGGTCTGGGGTGTAGAGCCTGCTTGAGCTCCAGTATCCTAAGATGGGTGCCGCTTGTCATTCTTCCCAGCAAGCCCAGCGGCCATTGTCCTACTTCTCACCCAGCCCAGTCCACCCCTAAGGCACGGATTCAGGAAACTTGAGACCTGGAGAAGGAAAGAGGGGAATTGGGAAGGGGGTCACAAACAATAATCCAGAACAGTGTGGCCATGAGTCCAACCCCACAGAGCTGACAGAAGGGACCCCTTCCCCCATGGCTCGGATCCTCAGTTTCCCCGGGCAACACCAGCTTTTGTCTTCCTGAGACTCAGGCTCCCCTGGGTGGGGAGGGAGTGCACTGGGGGGGGGCATGCAATGATACTCCAAGGTAGCAGCCTCTGCCCTGGGTGTGGCACCGCATCCTGTTCTCCCCACTTCCAAGGTACCCTCCCCCCTTGGGCTTCCCTCTTTTCCCGCCCTGTGGGCCCCATCTGACCCTTCCACGAAGCGCCTGTCCCCTCCTCCCTCGCCCACGGGGGTGGCATGGATACAAGGGCTCCTGCCTGAGCTCCATTCCCGAGGAAGGGGGCTCTGGGCTCCCTGGAGAGCAACAGATTCCCCAGCCAAGCTCTAAGGAGGGCTTTCGAGGGCTGGGAGAGGATGGGGAGGGCGGGGCTGTTCCGGAAACCGACATAAAGAGGCCTGCGGCTGCAAGGCCACCAGGTAGTTTGTCTTCTGAGCCTTGCAGCTGTCTCGGCCATTTTCATTTTTATCTACTTAGGGTGGTCAGCGGGTCACGGCAAGCCAGAGTCCCGATGCTAATGACTCCGGCTCCACGTGGCGACCATTCAGGGAAAAGCTGCAGTGTTCTCTCTGCCACATTAATCAGAGGAACACATCAAGGGCTGTTGCATGGAGACAGCTTTCCTCCCGGCACCTGCCCTGCATGCTAATCAGCACCCCTCCTGGCGGTGAGTCAGCTCCAAGCCAGGCCGGCAGGGAGGGAAGGACAGAAGCGCCCCGTGCTACCCACGTGGGGACCCAGAGGAGCTGCAGCCATGCCCCCACCCCCGACACACACTGGGTGCCATCATCATTGAGGCCCAAAATTATGGGCCTCATTCCTCTCTTTCTGAGAAAGTCGATCTAAACCCAAAGTCTGGGCTACTTCTTTGTGTCTAGGTCCTGCCCTAACCTACCAGAGGGAACTTTCTAGAAGCTGTTTCCTGGATATTGTCTGATTAAATGCAAAGACCTCACTGCCAGGCCCTTTGGTTGCAATAAGACATCACCTTGGTGCTTCACCTGTGGTAGGCACCCTAGACAGATTAACGCATTCAATCCTCATGGGACCCTGTGAACTATTAATGCATACTACCTCTATTCCTATATTGTAGGTGAAAAAGGATATGCACAGAGAGGTTGAACAGCCAACCCCCTGTAACACAGCTGGGCTGACTTTGAACCTTGGGAGTGTGGCTCTGGAGGACATGCTCTGCTGCCTCTCATTTTTCTCCTAGTGCTCACAGAGCCCCCTGAGCTGGTGGTGACCATAGAAAAGCCTGGGAATTCTTTTGCATGCATTATTCATTTGTTCGCTCATTCCTTCATACAGCAGCTCTATGTTGAGCACCCGCCATGTACAAGGCACTGTATTAGGCACCAGGGAGATGCTGTAACAAAACAGACACGGGCTTAAGAGGGAGACCAAAATCAATTTGCTAATAAATGCAAAATGTGGTAAGTTCACAAAAAAGAACTAGATGCCCATGAAAACATGCAGTAGGGGCACCGAATCTCTTTTGGGAGGTCAAGGAGGCTTCAATTGCAAAAGAAGCAATGGCTTATACTGGTGGTTCTCCAGGTGTGATCCCTGGACCAGCAGCATCAAGAAACTTGTTAGAAATGCAAATCCACAGGCCCCCTCCTGGATCTACCAAATCTGGGTTTGAGACCAAGGTTTGAACCCTTCCCTCCTGGGATTCTGATGCTTGCTCAAGTCTGAGACCACTGGCTTCTGCAAAGGCCCAGCAGGCTGTGCAGAGGCAGGCACATTAAAGGGCCAGAGGGAGGCCTGCAGGGGGTGGTGGGCAGGGTGGCCTGAGAAGACATGGGCGGGGGCTGGGTGACACTGGCCTTGCAGGCACCAGAGACCATTCAGCTCGGCATCCTGTCCCACCCCCAGGAAGCCTGGCTAGAGGGCCCCCTGCCATGGTGTCCCTCCAGGAGTATCAGGTCACCCAAATAAGCAGGCTGGCCCAGGTGAGAAGCCGAGAGTGGCCACCGGAGGCTTCTAGAGGCTCTTTGTTGTCCGACCTTAGTAATGTTTTGAGTTCCAGGAAGCCCTGGTCAGATGATGAAGTCCGTTGCTGGGGGAGAGCCTCAGTGTCTAGAAAGGCGCCTGGGAGGAAATCTCCCTGTCCTCATTGGTGTTGCCCATGGTCCGAGGAGCCAGTGTTCCCTTGAATCCTGCTGGTCAGGGGCATTATGAGCTTAGCAGAGGGTCTCTAGAGGTGGAGGCAGCCCTGATCCAGATGTACACCTAGAAGGCCCTGGTCTGCAAGGGCAGGTGCCACCCACAAGGAGCCCTGGGGGCTGTGACTGCAGGACAGGCTGGGTGTGGTCCCCCCTGCTTGCTGGAGGTGTTAGCCCAGAAGTGAATCAGAGGTGGCAGCCAAACAGCCTCTAGATGCTGAGTCGAGTGGCATTTACGGGGCACCTACCTACTACGTGCGAGACACTGCAGGAGGCCCCATCACACGTCAGCTGGCTGTGGAAGCACCTGCTTTGCAGATCCTTCCTCTGTCATTCTGTCTATGAGCAAGGGTTCGTTGTTTGTTCAGGCTCCAAGTTTCAGGACCCAGCAGGGAGCAGGGAAGGTGCAGCTTCGTTATGGAGGGCAAGCTGGTGGGGAAGACAGAAATACAAATGTCCCCGAGAAGGAGCGATTGGTGATTTTAGGGCCAAGCACGAGAGTTCTAAGCGTTGATTTTTAATCAAGAATGATTCCTGCCGGGCACAGTGGTGCCAGCCTGTAATCTAAGCGGTTCGGGAGGCTGAGGCAGGAGGATCTCAAGTTCAAAGCCAGCCTCAGCAACAGTGAGGTGGTAAGCAACTCAGTGAGACCCTGTCTCTAAACAAAATACAAAATAGGGCCGGGGTGTGGTTTAGTGGTTAAGTGCCCCATGGTTCAATACCTGATACCTTCTCACCTGCAAATAAAAGAATGACTCCTTTTAAGGGTGACTTGCAGATAAAAAGAAACCAGGAGAAGCCACACTGGCTTTGCCATGGTTACTATTAAACATCCCGTAGAACGTGCCAGGGGTTGAGCATGTTCAGCACACAGGCCACTGTGGCATGTTCTCCAGCTGTCCCCTGGTCTTCACAGGGCATTTCTTTCTTTTTTTTTTTTCTGTGTTGGGGATGGAACCCAGGGGTGCTCTACCTCGGAGACACATCCCCAGCCCTTTTTGTTTTGACCACAGGGTCTCACAGCCTAGCCCCAGCTGGTCTTGAACTTGTGATCCTCCTGCCTCAGCCTCCTGAGTAGCTGGGATGACAGACCTGTACTCCCCTGTCCTGCTGGGGGTTTCACAGAATGAACGCAGCCCTGAAAACCTAAAGGAAAAGGTGCGATGAATATCGGAGGACTCAGACTTTGGGAATAGTAAGGAACAAACCCTAGAGGACTTTCCAAGCCCCGTGCTGCTCCTCCCCCTCCTGGTCCCTGCCACCACCCCGCTGGCAGATGAATTCGCTCTTCCTTATCCAGCTCTGAGAAAAGCACCACATGGCAGTTTCCTCCGACCTGCAGCCTCGATTCCATCCAGCCCACTCTGATTTCCTCCCAGCTGTGGGTCTGCAGAGCAACCATCCTTCACTGAGGAACCTGGAGGAAGGAAAAGACCCACAGAGCGCTCCAGGTGAACCGCTGCTCTGCTCGTGTGTGAGGAGGTTTGCAGCAGCCGTGGGGATCCCACCCGTCTTCGGGGAAGAGACTCGCCTCTGCGGTACAGAGAGGCTGGAGACACTCTCACGGTCACGTGGGTGGTGATGGCAGAGCTGGGATTTGAGCCATCCCAACCATCAGACTTTGCTGGTTTGCTGTCAGAGAAAACCTGATCTTGGCTAAACGCTGTTGGCAGGAAGGGCTGAGAGCTTAGAAGGAACCTGCCGTTCTAGGCTGGAAGAGTTGAGGCTGGTGAATCCCAGAGGAGAGGCCAGGGCCTGGCTGACCCCGAGACTCTAATCAGCAGGGTCTGAGCTCACCTGGGGGTGGGGATGGGGACTCACAGGGAGGAGGGAGAGCAGGAAGAGGCTGAAGGCAGTCCTGATAAAGAGCAGGCAAAGGAGGGGCCGGCACCCCTCTGGAGACGCTGAAAGCTGGGTTCCCCTTGGGCTCCCCTTTCCCTATTAGGGGTCTGGCCACTGCCCCTTCCATTCCAGGCTTCTATGTTCCTGGAGTGAGGGGTGTGTCTCTCTGAAACCTGCCTTCAAGGGATGAGCTATCTTTAGGAAGGTGAGGGCCTGGACCTTGTCTGGAGCTCGGCCCTTACTGGTGGCCAGGTTACCCCCTCCCCATGTCTGTGAGCCTCATCTGTAGCATGGCATGGGTGGGGAAGGGGTGCAGATGAGCTGGTGTGTCAGATACCCAGCGGCACTCCTGACACAGAATGGGTGGGGGATCCATGTGTCCCGCCCCCAGACCCCTGCTTCCTTCTAGAACCAGGAAGGAAGAAGAAAGACTCCCAGGTCCTTCATAGGCCTGGCAGCCACACAGGTCTCCAGGGCAGAAGGGCTCCTCCCTTGAGCAGGGCCATGGGGGGCCACAGCCCCTGTGCCAGGTCCGTCAGGATTCCGTGGGCAGTGCCATGCTAGAGTGTGAGAGGCCCTAGCCTGGCGCTGGAGACTGTTGTGACTTGACTCCTTTAAGGGCAGGGTCACTTCCAGGCAGAGGTCAGAGTGCTGGCTGTAGCCTGGTCCTCGTTGGCCAGCATTGCTGTAGCCCTCAGCAGACACAGAGGTGGGAAGAAGCTCTTCTGTCCCCTTTCTGTCAAATGCCAGGGGTTTCTGTTCTTGGGGCCACTCCAGTTGAACTGGGCTAACTGGGCTGCACGAAATAACCACACGAGAGACACAAATACCTTTTTCTTTGGGGTCACTGTGATGGCTCCTCTGACCTTAAGGGTCCGTAGAAAGAGAGAGAGCGCGAGAGAATGCGCTGACCCCTTTTATTGAGGAGAAGCTATTCAAATGAGGCAAGGGGTCAGGTTTCAGGGGGCTGAGTCTGTCTTCATGATGTCCACTGTCAGCAGGTTGACTGACACCTGGGTAGGCCACGCCCAAGGGCACAGTAAGAGAAGGGGACACACACAAGGCACTTCCATGGAAGATTCTATCCTAGACAGGGCAAGGAGTTATATTACAAAGGAACAGGTGAGCATAGCTTCACCCATGGGGCTGTAGCAAGACACACCCATGCAGGAGACACCAACCCTCGGACCCAAGAAAGGTGGGGAAAGCTCTGCCACATTTCTGGGACTGAGTGCCTCAGCACCCAGCCGGGGAGTGTGACTCAGTCACGTGTAAGGTTGGCCTCCCACACCAAAGATGGAGGCATGAGTGGGGGCGGGGGCTAGAAAGGAGCTGATTGGACATCACTGCCCCCACCTGCCCCCTCAGGCTTGTTGGACTCCTTCCCATGTATGTCCCCTGCTGCAGCCCCCCACCCCCCATGAAAATCTTCTCACACCCATAAGCTGCTTATATGGTGTCTGCTGGACTCAGATCAGAAGTCTGGAATGGCTGTGAAGATGTCATTGTCCCCTCCAGCATGGCAGGTAACGTCTAGCTCCCCAACCAGGGTTTTTTCTTGCAGAGCAAAAACTAAGGGAGCAACTTGAAGGGAGCTGATCCTCTTTTTTTTTTTTCCTTTTCTTTTTATATTGGGGATTAAACTCACAGGTGCTTTACCTCTGAGCTGCATTCCCTTCCCTTTTCATTTTTTACTTTGAGATAGAGTCTCCCTAAGTTGCTTCGGGCCTCACTAAGTTACTCAGTCTAGTCTTGAACTTGTGATCCTCCTGCCTCAGCCTCCCCAGTCTCTGGGATTACAGGCATGAGACACCACTCTCAGCTCTTTCTTTTCCTTTTTAACCTAAGTCAGTTTTTTTGTTTTGTTTTGTTTTTCCTCCATGGGGAAAAAAAAAAAAAACCACCAACAACAACATTGTGAACACAGAGGAAAAGAGAAAAAAGTGAAAACTTCCTTTTATTCCTATTTCTAATCAATATCATCATTTTTCCCAGCAATAACCTACATGAGCAATTTTCTGTGTATTATCCAAGACTTTTGTTTTTAATTTCTATTTCATGTAGTACTGGGGGTTGAATCCAGGGGCACTGAATCACTAAGCTATATGCCCAGCCCATTTTATGTTTTATTGTTTTGATACAAGGACTTGCTAAGTTACCCAATAGCCTTGAATTTGTAATCTACCTGCCTCAGCCACCTAAGTCTCTGGGATTGCAGGCATATGCCACCATGGCTGGCCTACCCCAGACTTTTCCAGGGTGTTCACACACATGACACATCTACGGGGGTGCATGCGAGGGCAAATGTCAGGATCTTTGTTTTGCTTTGATTTTGCATAAATCGTTCTGCAAATTTTTCCCTATGACAGTATGTATACCCTGGACATTTTCTCATGTGGACATGTATGGAGCCTCTTTTTGTTTTGTTTTGTTTTGATTTTCTGCATTCTAGTCCATGGGTAGATGTAACACGGTTGATTCAACATTCTGCTTCCTCTCCCGCCTTCACATGGGGTCCCCTTGCTGCTCTCTAGGGAGCATGGGTCAGAAGGCTGGTTTCATGGCGAATGGTACCTCTGCACATTTCCAGGGGATATTATCCACATTTTGAATGTGGATAACTGATGGACTGACTGATGGGCAGGGTGCCCATTACCCAGGTCTCTGTGCACATGCGTGTGTGGACCTATCAGCACTGAGACTTCGGGTGGAACCCACAGGCAGAAGTGCAGGAGTCCCACGCTTGGTGGACCCTGCCACAGTGTGGGAGGGCGGCTGAGGGCTTCTGTGCCTGCACAGCCCCCGCCAAACCAGTCCCCCCAGCCCACATCAGTCACGTGGCTGCTGGCTGGGCTGCTGTTTCCAGGAAATCGATTGCAAAGACCAGCGATTGTCAGTGGCTCGCACACAGGAGGCCATCCAGGGAGTAGATTAAATTGTAGGAGAAAATCATACTGAGCTCAGGAAGGCTCATAATGGAGACCCTCCATGACCTTTCTGGAGGAGTTAAAAGAACACAGGCAGATACACTTTCACCCTGCTTACCACCCCCAGCCCTCCTGCCAGGAGAGCAGCCTCCTGCCCTTAGAGTAGATGCTCCTCACGCAGGGCAAGAGGGCTGCCTGCCCGTGCACACCCAGGGAGGCCAGCAGGGGCACTTGCTTCCCTGCAGGGGGGACCCAGGTTGATCATCAGGCCCTGAGTTTCCCAAGGTCACTGACCCTCCTTCTCCATCCTGGCCCCCTTTTGCCTTCCCCTGGAGAAGCTGTCTGGCAGCCGAAGGTGGCGGTGACCCTTCTCCACTTGTTCCCAGACAAGGGCTCCTCTCAGCTGCGTCCAGCCCGCTCTCCACCCCTGCACAAACCCAGGTGCTGGCACAGTGGCCTCAGATCTGATTACCCACCTGGAGACCCCTGCCCTGCATCCCCAGGAGGAGCGGGGCCTCGTGGAGGGCAGCGTGGGCGAGGGCGGCACTACGTGTACAAACACAGCATGCTCCTAAACACAGAGAGGGACCCGAGCCTGGTTTCAAGACAGCCAAGCCAAGACCCCACCCGTGTCCCTCATCAGGATTGCCCTCCAGTCCCCGACCCACCCCTTCATCTCTAGGTCCCCAGCCACACACACCCACACCTGGACCTGCAAAGAAGACCCAGCCTTAGCTCTGAACTTGGGAAACACGTTTGTCTTCTGTATGCCGCTGTCTCCCTGGCTCGCCAGGCCGGCCTACCTGGGGTGCCACCACTGCGGGGGCAGAGGACTCTGTGTATGTCTCTCCACTTTCACAAGCTCCATGCAGGGCCAGGCCCAGTATGATTTACTAATGGGGAGATGGAGGCTCAGAGTGGGTAAGTGACTTAATCCAGGTCACACTGCTCGTAAGTGCTGAAGACAGCTAGCCAGGCACAGCCAGACTCCAGGAGCCCTCACCAGCGCTGTCCCTGCTCCCGCTGGACTTCACTCCCTCTCAGTAAAGACAACCAGGCGGAGCTGCCACTCATGGTACCCAGATCCACGAGGGGTCCTGATGGAAGACCGCCCCTCCCATCTCCCTCCATCTTTGAATTCTGCTCCCTCTTTAGCAGATGCAGCCCCAGCAAGGCCGGAATGGCCACCCTGGTTTCCCAGGGCTGTCATCATGATGACCTCACTTGGCTAGCAGGGCCTGACCAGCTCAGCCGGGGGATGTGGGACCTCTCTGGGCGGCGTCTCCTATCTGGGTCCAGGTTCGGGTTTCTTTCTTTTCTTTGGGGTGGAGAGGACGGCCACATTCCGGAGGGGCTTGCTGCCCTCCCGTGGCACAAGCCTGCCTGGCTGCCACCTCCTGCTGCTGCTGCTGGAGGCCCAGTGGCCAGCAGTGGAGGGGGGAGAGCAGGAAAGGGTGGGAGCAGGCGGTGGGAGAAATCAGGAGAGGAAGAGGGCTGGGCCGTGGGACCTGGACAGTAACAGCGAGGATCCTAACAAAGCCAAGAGTCAGAATCCTGAAGGCAGCTGCCAGGAGACACTCAGGTTCCCACACCCGTCCATCATGGGGATTAGTAAACCTTATTAGTTTTACAGGTGATGACCCTAGGCTCAGTCATTTATTCAGTTTTCCCAGCTGGTGGGTGACAAAGCCAGGATCCTAAGTGACCCCAGAACCCTAACCATCATGCTCCACTGACAGAAAGGAGCAGATTCTCTTCTGTGACCAGCCCCTGCCCCCAGGACCATAGGCCACTACCCATTTCCACCCTCCCTTCCGTGTGACTTTGCCCTCTGTTCCTCTCCCCTCCCCTCCTCTGGCACCGTATCCTGCCTCCGAGGTCTACGTGGTCACGTGGTCAAGGGCATCCCAAGGGTCTGTTGGAACACTGTGTTCTCATTCTGAACAGCTCTGGGTCTTACTGGCCTTCGATCTTGCCCAAGGCCTGATGTCCAGCCCCCAGCCTGGGTGCAGGTGCCCAGGTCACTTGCTGCTAAGTGGAGAGGCTGAGTGCCGGGTGGTTCATCAACTGCCAGATGAGGGCCCACGGAGCCCGTGACACCAGTGGAGGTGGCCTGGAAAGATGTCCTACTAGATCATTCAATTTTTTTTAAAAATCAGGTTATAAAGCAGTATTTTATTAGTGAAACAAAAGTATTCTCTGTTTTTAAGCAAAGAAAAAGGGTATTTACCAAGATGCTAACAGATGATTGTTGTCTTCTCTTGGCTTATCTGTGCTTTCTAGTTTTTCAAGGAACATTGATAATTTGCATGATTTTAAAAAGCAATAAAATAAACCAATCCCAGGCTGGTTGTACTCCTTTCTGTCTTTGTCCTCACCCCGACAGCTCTCCAAAACATCCTCATCTCCTCCCCTCCCCCTCCTCCTCTCTCCCTCCTCCTCCTCCTTCTTCTTCATCCTCCTTCTCCTCATCACATTACAGTTTTTCCAACCGCTAAGTACTAAGCCATA